GTCCCCATCTGTCTATTTCATTGCCAGGCAAGTCTTAATATGCTCAGAGTAGACATTACCCTAACTCACTGACGAGTTCGAGGGCCTGTTGGGTTATCCTCAAACTGGTTTAGCCTATCTGCCAAGGCAGTTTACCATGGTATGGCTGCTGTGCATGCATGCTGCCATTAGGTAGCATAGTGGATAAAGTGTTGGCCCTGGAGTCAGAAGGACCTCAATTCAAATCCAGCCTCAGACACTTAACTAGCTGTGTGACCCTGGTCAAGTCACTTAACTCTGTTTGCCTCAGTTTCTTCATCTGTAGAACGAGGTGGGGAAGGAAATGGCAAACCACTCCAGTATTTTTGTTGAGAAAACCCCAGATGGGGTGACAAAGAGTCAGACATGACTAATTGACCAAAAAAAAATTAGTTCGCTAATGTTCACAAAAGTGGAAAATTACTGCTTGTTTGGCTGAGGGAAAACAGGTACGCTAAGGCACTGTTGGTAGAATTGTAAACTAGTCCAACCGTTATGGAGAGGAATTTAGAACTGTGTCCTCCAAACTATTAAAATGTGTATAACTTTTCACCTAGCAATACTGCTACTAGATCTGTAACCTCAAAGAAATTAAAGAAAGAGGAAAAAGACCCATATGTACAAAAATATTAATAATAGCTGTGTGTCTGTCTGTGTCTGTGTGTGTGTGTGTGGTGGCAAAGAATCAGAAACTGAGGGGAGCTGTTTTTGTTGATGCCCAGATATCTGATATATGTTGACATTATTATTTCCTTATGCTCTTCATAGGTGTGAGTAGTAATATAGATATCCTGATTTTTTTTTTGTGAGTTTATCTTATGGCTTGTTCTTTTTTTGAAGTCATTTATTCCTTCAGTTTAATTTTTTTGTTGTTGGCTGGTTGGAATTTTCTGGTTACAATTGTATGTTAGCATGGACATTCCTGAAGCATGTCAATATCTTAAGACTGCACATATATATGTATGTATATATGTATGTGTATGTATATACATGTCTGTGTATATGTTATTTGACCCTCTAATTTTTTAAGGTGAAATTACTTAGTCTGTTTAAATTTCAGTTCTTTCTTCAAAGGCCTTTTGTGGAGTATAAATATTCATTGTGGTGTCATTGATAAAGAATGTGTTTAATATTTCTGGTTTTCTTCATTTGTGTGAGTTTATTTTTATGCCATAGTTAGCTTTTTTTTTGTAAAGGTGTCTTGCATGGATGAAAAATATGTATACTTCTTTTTATTCCCATTGAATAATCAACAGAAATCTATTACATGGGGCATTTGAGAAGTCTTGGTGCAATTTTACTCTGTTAAAACTGTACTAAGATTTTTGAGACACTTTGTATATGATTTTTCTGAAATTCTATTAAAGTCCTATCGAGGTCCTCTTATTTATGCTTTTATTAAATTTTTTGACATTTAAAAGGAGTATATTGAAATCTCTATTGTAGTTTGTTTTCTCTTTCTCCCTGCAATAGGTTTAACTTTTCCTTCAAATACTTAGCTTCCTTACCATTCGATACATATATTTTAAGTATGTATTGTTTCATCTCCATTGCCTTCAAAATGTAATTTCCCTGCTAACGTTTCAATTATCAATTTTAACTTTATTTTGTTTGAGATCATGATTGCCACCCTTGCTTTTTAAAATTCACCCTAGAAATAATAAAATCTGTTCCAACCCCTCATTTTAGCTTTTTCTGAATCTTTATGTTTCCAAAATATTTATTATAAAGAGCATATTGTTAAATTCTGCTTTACTAATGCAGTTTGCTAAAAATCCTCTATTTTTAGTTGAGTTGATTCCATTCATTTTCATGGTTATGATTGTTAATTGTGTATTTCCCTCTATTAAATACTTTTACTTTTTCTTCTCTTTACTCCCTGCTTGACTCTTTATAGTAAAGAAAGAGGTGTTAAAAGTGAAGAAATGTCATCAGCTCTAGTTATCTATAATTGAAAAGGTTTTCTCCCACTCCTTATCTCTTGCTTTTTTCACCAGTCCAACTTTTGATCTGTAGTTCTTATGCTTTTTTCCCTCTTTTAATCTCTTCTGTCTTCCTCTTTATGATATATCTTCTAAAGATGAAGTTTATTTTATTTGGCTTTATTCACTTCATGTCTCTACTTTTGGGAGAGCTGAGGTCTTCTTAACAGTGTTTTAAATTGCTGTCTTACCCAGAAATCCAACACCATGTAAATTTAAGTTGTATCTGTTTATATGTTTTTTCTCCCTGTCAGCTAAATTGCTATGTGTAGTGGTCATTTTCATTAACTTTTTAGTGTAGCATCCATTTTTACTGCAGGCAAATGATTTTCCAAACTTTTTCAATCTATGAATTCTTCAACAAGGCAAAAGACTATATGCTGTATTCATTGTAATCTCCATCCTCAGAGCAAAATTAAATTTAGAAAACTTTAGCAATTTAAAAGATGAATGTTACTACTTTTGATTCGAGTCTAATGAAATGGTGGTTGGTTTTTTTTTTTTTTTTATTAAATGTCATATGAAAATGAGAGACAGCTTGACTCAGTGGATTGAAAACAGGTGTCAGAATCAGGAAAAACTGGATTCAAGTGCTACCTCTAACATATACTGACTTTGTGACCCTGGATAAGTCCCTTATCGTCTCAGTGCCCCCAAACAACTCTTAAGTTGTAGAACAGTTACCAGTCAGTTTTGATAATGATAATTTCTTCTCCAGAAATTCCCTATACCAATGAAATCATAAAACTGAACCAAAGAAACAGAGAGGAAGTTATTAATTCATGTCATAAAAAAGGTATGTGATTATACCATAAACTCTGTAAGAGGCCAGTCTGGAGGCCATTGGGAAGAACTTTTTACGTGACCACTGGCTTTTGGACTACATATTTAAAAAAAAAATACTTTAAGGAAGAGTATAACTTCACTGTGGCCTCTTGTGATTATGAATGAGTTAATGGATAATAGGGCATGTCAATAACCCATTACATAGTAAAAAAAAAAAATAGCCCATGGCTTTTGTCAAGCTTTATGATTAAAAATCACTTTATGGACGTTATCATAGCTATTTTTTTTGTTTTGTTTTCGGATTTTTTGTTTGTTTGTTTGTTTTGCTTTTTGGTGAGGCAATTGGCGTTAAGTGACTTGCCCAGGGTCACACAGCTAGTAAATATCAAGTGTCTGAGGCCAGATTTGAGCTCGGTCCTCCTGACTCCAAGACTGGAGCTCTATCCACCGTGTGCCACCTAGCTGCCCCTATCATAGTTATTGTTAATAAGGAAAGTTTTAGCTGTGTACACTGTGAAGAAAAGTTTACTTCCATTTCCCAAGATAGCACAGGTCTAGGGACTGAGGAGATTATGGGTAATTGTGGTGTACATAAATGATTTTAGAAATTTGTACCTTTCAGCACCCATCCCATAATGGTATTGGAAAGAAAACTGAAAAGTAATCTTTGTCATGTGTAAACAGATAACTGTTTAAATGTTTTAATTTATGTTATGAGGCATGATAAATAATATAGATTAGACTGGTTAGCAAAGCGCAGCTAGGTGGTTCGGTGGATAGACTGCAAGACCTGCAGTCAGGAAGACTCATCTTTGAGTTCAAATCTGGCGTCAGACACTTAATAGCTGTGTGACCCTGGGCAAGTTATTTAACCCTGTTTGCCTCAGTTTCCTCATCTATAAATTGAGCTAGAGAGGAAAATGGCAGATCACTTTAGGATCTTTGCCAAAGAAAACCACAAATGGAGTCACACAGAGTCAAATTCCAGTGAAGCAATTGAACAAATTTAGTTAAAAGTGGATGTCGGGGCAGCTATTGGATAGAGCATAGGCCCTGAAGTTAGGAGGACCTGAGATCAAATTGGCCTCAGACCAAACACTTGACACTTGCTAGCTGTGTGACCTGGCAAGTCACTTAACCCCAATTGCAAAAAAAAAAAAAAAAAAGTGGATGTCATTATTTTAGAATGGAGCATCAATGTGAAAAATGGATCGTTCAATAATTTTGTGTGAGCTACCTGTTAGATAACTGGTAGTTAAAAATATGCTTTAGACTTTAAAACATAAAGGTTTTTTTTTTTATAACAGAATTATGATTGTTCTAGCCATCATTTTAGAGTTATCTTGATGTTCAATGCCTCTGAGGTCTTTTTCAGTTATAAATCTATGATCCTATATATTCCTAGGCAAGAAGCTTAGTGCTCTGCACACAGTGCAGTCTCACTAAATATTACTTATTTACTGCCCCACAAAGCACTTATTAGCTGAACTGTACAAAGACATTTGAGAACTAGTTTTTCCTTAAGAGAGATAGTTTTGAGAACTTTTTAACACTTAGGATCAAATATTTTGTTTAAATTTATTAATAATTATAGGAAACTTTTGAGCAGGTTGTTGTTTGTATGTTTTTTTTTAATAGACAGTTTGGCTGGATCACAGTGTTTAAGAGCAGCAATAACGTACAATGAGACTGAAAAGCTACCCTAATCTATTCTTTAAGAATAGATAGGAAGGAATATTTAAAAAGTATTTATTCAAAAGAATAATTTTTATGAGTACATATAGTTTATTTTAAAAAATATTCTTTAGTACCTGTTTTCATAGGATTTTAGAACTGAAAAGGACTTTAGAGATCACATAGTCCAACTCTGGCATCATTTTACAAATAAAGAAATGAAGCTCCATGAGTGACATATCACAAGTTAAGTGATTTGTTAAAAGTCAAAATTAGTAGTAAAACAAGGACTAGAATCTCGGAATCCTAGTCCAGTGTCTTACTTATTTTTCTGTTTACCTCTGTGTCAAAATGACTTTTTAAAAATATTTGAAAGATTTCAGATAAGAGTAGTCAGTTTAATTTACTTTAAAATGTTTTATGTATTTATGTTAAAATTAACAGACTTTTGATATCTGGTACTGTTAGAAGCTCAATTTTAGCAAAGATTTTTTAATCAAATTTTTAATATGTTTTTTTCTTGATTTTTTTATATTTTAGCTAATTTAACAGGACATGCGGAGAAAGTGGGAATTGAAAATTTTGAACTTCTGAAGGTTCTAGGAACAGGAGGTAAGATTTTTAGGTTGCTTTTTCAGAATGATACTTGTTCATAGATATTTTTCTTGCATTAGGTTTGCAGCCAAGTTATCAATGAGCAGACATTTATTAAGTTTCTGCCATGTGCCAGGGATTTTGTTAGTCACTGAGGATATCAATACAAAAAATGAAACAATCCATACTGTCAAGAAGTTTATGTTGAAATGGGTGACACGAAATATATTTAGAAGTATATGCAGAATAAATATGAATAAACACAAAATAGTTAAATACAAAATAATTTATAAAGAGGGTACTGGGATTTATAGGGGATGAGGGTACATTTATATAAATGATTGTGCACAACATTGAGTCTTGAAGGAAGAGAGATACTATAAGGAAGCTGTATGTGGCAGATGGCCAGCGCAAAGGCAGGTGGAGACATTGTATGAGGAACCTCTGTTCTTTCTCTCTAGAAGGACAATTTGCCTGAATCTCAATGTATACAGTGTTTTTATTTAAATTCTTTAAGTCTTTCTAGGATAGCAAGGAGTATTTAAAGCATTTATACACAAGTGTGGGGTTTTTGTGGATGCATTTAAAATTTTTTTAATCTTAAATATCCAAGAAACCACGTATACACAACATAACACAGAAAGAGAATATGACTCTCCATTTTATGCTGCCTATTTTTTAAAGCATATAATAAATTCATACTTTACTTTTTAAAAATGTCCTACTTGTCTTTGCTTCCTTCTGACTTCCTTTATATTCTCTTCTGTGCATTTTTATAGTGTTTCAATGGCCTTCTTTTAGTTGTTATTTTTTAAAATCAGTATTGATAATTTTCCCTCTCCCCAAATACCTCTACCTACTGAGAGAGAGAGAGAGAGAGAGAGAGAAGGAAAAACCCTTATGACAAATAAGCATAGTCAAGCAAAGCAAATTCACACAGTAGCTATGTCCAAAAATAGATGATTTTTTCTGGATCTTGCCTCTCTAATCTCTCTGTTAGCAGGTGAGTAACTTGTTTCATCATAGTTTTTCTGGAGATATGGTCATTGCATTGATGAGAGTTCTTAAATCTTTCAAAGTTGTTTTTCTTTGTAATCTTGTTATCCTTATATAAATTGTTCTCCTTATTCTGGTCTCCTCAGTTTACATGAGTTCATGCTACCTAGGATTCTCTGTAATACTTTCTTTTGTCATTTTTGTGATTCAGTAATATTCGATTACATTCACATCCCATAATTTGCTCATATATTCCCCAATTGATGGGCACTCCTTTCATTTTTAGTTATTTGCTTTTTTTCCCCCCACTTCAGGATCAGGAAATTTGTTTTATGAGTATTTCCTCCCTGTTATCCTTCCTCTGTCTCCCTATCCATTCGTTTGTTTCCTCACTGTATTAGATATGTTTCTAAACCAAATAGTTATTGTGTATATGTGCGTATGTTCAGCACTCTCTTGTTTATTTCAGATAAGTGAAGTTTATCTGATGCTTGCTCCTCACCACCTTCTCCATCTTTGTACTATATTTCTCTTGTACCCCAGTTCTTTGATTTTTATGACTCATTAATTGAAGTTGGCATGTACTCACTTTTAATATAGCATTTTGTGTGCATTTTTATATATTTGATACTTGTCTCTTTTTATTAGTAGCCAAGACCCTCAAAAGTCATGAAGGAAATTAAATTTTAATCATATTTGATATATAAAGAGTGTCAGATTTTTAATAGCACTTTTTGAAAGCCTCTTACCTGAAATATCTCTGTCTGTGCTGTTGTTGGTTCTTTCCTAGGACCAGGAATGGATATTATTGCTACTCTGACTCACTCTCTGGATCCACTGTAGATACCTGCCCCCATTTACCAGGGCTTCTTATTTTTATCTTGTGACCTGGTGATTGTCCAGTGCTAATTAAAAAAAAGGCACAGAGTACAACAGCATCCCTGAGCTTGACTGCCTCTTTTTTTTTATTTAATCCTTTTTGGTACTTTAATTTTTGCTTTCTGTCTCATGATTAGGCTCTGAACTTTGTCTCAGCCTGCACTCAGTTCTTGATTCTGGCCTCATTCTTAGTATTTCTTTACAAGTAGTTCTGGCAAAATGTCAGAGATTCTGAAGGATTCCTAAGACAAAATGTTATAACTTGGATTGTAGAAATATTAATTTATATTTGTTTTAAATAATTATTTAAACCAAATCATTTTCATCTACATTCATAATTTTAATTAGGAATTTGTACAATAAAACCTTTTAAAGTTTTAGCATTTGCACCCTGTAACATAAGTTTATAATATCTTTGATTCTATTGTTTTAAAACAGTTTTGCAAGTGTTGAAAACAGATGTTCACTGTTATTAAAATTTGTATGCTTACTACCTCTGTGACTTTGGACAAGTGACTTAACCTTCTGCACCTGAGTTTCCTCATCTATAAAATGAAGGATTTGAACCAAATGGCCTCTGATATCCCTTCCAGATCTAGATATATGATCCTTTGATCTTATCACACTTCCTGCAGTGTCTATTCCAAATCTTCTCTTCTCAAGCCACTTAAAAACCACTCCCTTTCCTTTTCTTTCTCAACAGAAAACTTTGCCTCCTAGTTCACCAAGAAAGTCAAGGCCATTCACTGTGAGCTTCCTTATAAACAGCCTCATTAACATTCTTAAGGTACAGGTCTGATCAGTAATCAGTTAACAAGCATTTATTAAATGTCTACTATGTTCCTTGGTGTTATACTAGGCACTGAGGTACAAAGTTAAAAATGAAATAACTTCTGCCTTCAAGGAGTTTACATTCTATTGGGGGAAATAATGTACATATTTAAGTAGGTACAGAATACATACAAAATAAATACAAAGAAATATTAGGGGAAGCCACTGGCTTCTAGAGGAGAAGGGGAGGAAAGACCTTATGTAGAAAGTGGTACTCAAAGCTAAGTTTTGAAGGAAACTAAGAATTTAAAAAAAAGGTGAAATGGAATGGACTATCTTATTTGAGGAACAGGTAAGTGGAAGGCCAGGTTGCCTGGACCAAAGTGTGAAAGAAAATGATATATAAGACAGCTGGAAAGGTAAATTGGAGCCATATTGTAAAAGGCTTCAAATCCCAGACAAAGGTATTTGTGTGTATTTGATCCCACTTATCAAATGCTTTAGGAATATCATTTTGGCAGTTGTGTGGAGGATAAATTAGAGGGGAGAAAGATTTAAGGGAGAAAGACCAGTTAAGGCACAACTTCTGAAGTACCAATGAGAGATGATGAGGCCTCAATTGTGGTGGTGCCCACGTGAATAGAGAAGTGATTGAATGTGAGAGAAATTATAGAGGCTGAATCTCCAAGATCTGGCAACCAACTGGATATGTCAAGTGAAAAATAGTGAAGAGTCAAGCACAAGATTGAGATTGTAAACCTGAGACTTTGAGTTGTGACCATGTCACTCCCCTATTCAAGAATCTGAAGTGACTCTTTGTTGTTTATAGAATAAAATTTAAACTCCTCAGCCTGACATTTAAAAACCATTTGTCAGTGCTTTCTCATAAATTATCTTCCATTTATTATTTTTGTGCATGTTGTTTTTTCTAATCAAATGAGATCATATTTGTAAACCACTCAGCACAGTGCCTAGCATAGAGTAGGCGTTAATAAATGCTTATTCCTTCTTCTCACTTAATAGGATGAAAACTACTAAGGGAAGGGAATTTTTTTTCTTTATATACATGTAGTAGGCAATTAATGTTGAACTGAATATAATTGGTAGAATGATAGCTCATAGTATTTATGAGAATATATGATAATTAAAATAATTATATATATAAGCTATTAAAATAATTAAAAGTGCTTCATTATATATATCTGAATTTAATTCACATTTAATGACTAGAGTAGATGGGACTTTTAAAAAATAAATATAATGAAGGCTAAATTTATATTAAAAATTTAAGCCAGTTATCTTAGAGAAGAATATTGTGCTGCCTTTTTACAAACTTCTGTTTCTAACAACATTAGGGAGAAAAGAAAAACCTTATCAAATATCTTTATGTATTTCATTGGGGTTTTTTTTGGGGGGGTGAAGAAGCAACTAAAACTTCTGAAGAATTGATTTTTATATGTTATAAAATTGACAAACAGTTCGAATCAGAAGTATTGCTTTTAAAATAGAATATTGTAATGTGAATCATTTTAATTATATAGTCAACATTTGTAACATTTGTCAAATGAAGCCTATTTTGTATTTTTTTAATTTAAAAGCATTTATTTCTAGTTTTGAATTCCCTCCTTTCAGCCCATTCTCCACCCGTTGAAAAGGCTAGAAACATACTACCCATTAAACATATTAAGTCAGATAAAACATTTTCACATTAGCCATGTCTATTTTGTGTTAACTGATTGTGTAGTCCATTATTTCAGGCCTTCTAAGACCACAAAACTTAGTAGTGTTCTTTTCTTCTTTTCCGCCCCCTATGTTTAATTTCTCACTTATGGAAGTAATGTCTCCTACTGTTCTTCCATTCTTAAGTAAGGTCTTGGGGGGCAGAGGGTAGTGCATTGAAGCTCATGAGTTTTGTCTCAGAGTCTATGGGCCAGCCTCCATCACTATTCATAATCTACTTGGAGTAGCTATAGTTCTTTAGTTAAGATTAATGCAGTCTGGTCCCCCTGTCTTTAGCCAGAGGCTTATCCTTATTATCCCTTTCTATTGTTTCCTGTCTAATTCTCTTAAAATATAATTTGCAACATGTCATTCCTGTGTTAAGAAATTTAGCATAATTCTGTATTGTCTACCTAAACTCTAGAAGAGTGGTAGAATCTAGGGTTCCCTGCCTATAACAGCATCTAGTGAGTACTTCATTTTCAGGGGCCTTCATAGGAAGAGCTCCATTCCCTTGTTGCTGTTCACTTCATTTATTGTAATAGTCTCATAATTGATCATCCTATTTCCAGGTGCTGCCTTCTCTAACCCATTCCTCATCCAACTCCAAAATTGATAATTCACTCCATTATTCAAAATCTTCCATGATTCCC